CGGGCCGCGGGGGGGCGCGGGCCGGTCCCGCCGCAGGGGCGCGGGCTGCTCCGGCGCGGCCTTGCCCCGCTGGAAGCAGGAACTGCCCCCGGGGATCCTCAGAGCGCGGCCGGGACGGTTTTTCCCAGCGGATCTGGGTCCCGGACGTTCTTGGGCGCCGGGAGGTGCTCGGTCGGTGCTGGGTGAGGGGATGCAGTTGGGGGAAGCTCGTCCCGGTCCCAGCCCCAGCGGCACGGCCGCGTTCTGCTCGGTTTGGGTTTCTTCTCTGTAAGGGGTCTGCGTTAGTTTGACTAAAGTCGGTGATGTATGAAGCACGCTTTATGGGTTGTTTGAGGCCTTTTCTGCAGACACATGCCACAACCCAAGAGAAAGCATCATATCACTCCAGCTAAAGTACCACCTATGTTTTTTCGTACTGGAAAGCAAACACGAAGAGTTAGAGGAAGAGAAGGAAATAAGCATATTTAGGTAACAGGTTAAAATATATTGGTGGATGTGAATTGGTGAACAGTACTATGGACAAGTAAACCCAAAAGCACGGGAAACATGGGAGAGGACTGTTCAGGTAGATTTTTATTTCTTGCAAAATATGTTAGGATCTGATTTGCTTATTAACATTCATTTAAGTTAAGAGGATACTGCTGCTGTCTTTTAAAATTATATAGATGCCATAACTGACATAGAAATTGTGTCATTAAAACTCACTGCCTTTGCAAGCGTGTTTATACAGAACTGTTTATTGCACTGGTGATCAGCATGAAACAATTCCAAAGCAGAACAGGTAAATTTCAGTGACTTCTACTAAACAGAAACTCCAGAGGAAAAATGGAAACATTTGCTTCCTCATGACCTCTATAGGGAGTGAACTGTGCTGCTGCTGGTGGGAAGGATGGGCAGGATTGATGATGATGTCCAGAGGAACATCTCCATTAAAGCACATCTTACTGTCATAGTATTGCTGTAGTTTTTATTATTCCAGTGCAGGCTGTGAAGTAAATATATAACTGTGGTACAGATAAGAATATGTGTGAGGATTACTAGAGAGGAGCAATATGGACTTATTGCAGAGTTATTCTGTAAAAAGTATTGCATTTAAATTATCTCCCCCTCTAGTCTGAACTAATTTTACAGGGAGGATAAACTAAGTGGCTTTGCACAATCTTTTGTCTCTTTTTAAAAAAAGTATTTTCTTTTGGATTTTTCTTTAATAAGGAGGTTTCGATTTTTTGAAAAAGCCTTGACTCTTCAACACACTTTGAATTGTTTTGTTTACAATTATGTAGGGCAGGACTGTTCAGCTATTTCAGTCAGGAGCAGTTTCTGGGGCTGGCAGAACAAAAGCAGAACCAAGTTCCTGTTGTACTGAAAAGGCAAGAGATCATCTTTTGGCTGTACCTGGTTCATGTCTGCAGGATGTGTGAGCCCTTTCTGGGGATTGGGGTCCATCTGCCACGCTAGCAGTGACCTGTAGCTTGAGAAGTGGGGTGTTTGCTGTGCCTGGGGCAGCCTGCTGGGGCTGTGCTCCTGAGGAATTGTCCAGAAGAGCTGCTGGTGCTTCTGTGGGATCTGCTTTTAGATGGTCGCTTTAGCATGGATTTTCTGGTCTCTGGTTGTAACAAAACTACTTGTGGGTTTTAGGTTCTGCCAAAATGGAGCTCAGTGATGCCAATTTACAAACTTTAACTGAATATCTAAAGAAAACACTAGATCCAGATCCTGCTATAAGGCGACCTGGTAAGTGATTCTCATGATTGAGAACAAAAAAGTTCTGTTTCTGTTTGTCTCTCCTGTCTTTGTGTAGCGAACATCAGTGGATATTTATGCAATAACCTCTTTACAGAAGTTCTCAGTATCCTTTTAAAGGGAAACCCCAAAAAAAAACTAATGAAGGGTGGATATAAATAGAAATAATGTTATGTGC